ATATATATATATATATATATATATTGGGGCGCCTGGGTGGCTCAGTGGCTTAAGCTTCTGCCTTCGGTTCAGGTCATGATCTCAGGGTCCTGGGATTGAGCCCCACATCGGGCTCTCTGCTCAGTGGGGAGCCTGCTTCCCCCTCTCTCTCTGCCTGCCTCTTTGCCTACTTGAGATCTCTCTCTCTCTGTCAAATAAATAAATAAAATCTTAAAAATATATATATATAAAAAATATATATATATATAAATATATATATATATAAAATATATATATATATATATATATATATATATATATATATATATATATAAAACTTGCTAGAGCTCACTGTCACAAACATTCCCACCCCCTTTCTTCTCTGCAGCTCAGAGGATTGATACTGGTACCTGGAGCAGAAAGTTGCAACTTCCTTCAATCAACAAACTGTTTAGGTATAAAATTTCTTTAATCAAAAAGGATTTCTCTTCCCTCAACACAAATGTACATATTAAAAGTAAAAAAAAATAGATGAGAGAGACATATATTTACACAAATGAGAAACCAAAGTCTCAAGTCCTGGATTAGGGGTTGAGAGAATGGACATCAGGAGCAACTGAAGGATGGCTTCTCTGCTGCTCTAGATGTCCCACAGTCATCTCTCTGGCCATGGTGGGTAGACTAGGCCCAGATCGGGTACAGCCCCAGTCTGGTGGCAGAGTTACTGGCAAACGGTGGCAATGAGGTCCATCTTCAGAGAGTTTCTTAGGATCACCAGGGATGACAGGAGATGCTGTAGTGGGTGGAATTGGAGTGGCTGGGGCAGATTGGGTGAAGGGCTGGACTCCATGCTGGACAAAAAGGATAACACCAATGCTGGCTCCAGTGCCTAAAGGACCATGGCTAAAGGAAATGGTACCTGGGGAACTGAGGGGGGGGGTTGCAAATTGGAGTGGTGTGGATCCAAGTCAGGTGCATAGTTGGCCATTCAGTGAGATGCCAAGGCTGCTTTGGTTTCAACAGTAGACGTCCTAGCTGGGTCTGGTCCGTCTTTTCCATGGGAAGTGTAGGAGAGGAAGCAGCTGAGGAACTGTGGTGGCTTGGAAAATGCTAGAAAGGGGAGACAAGAAGAAAAAAAAATATGTGAGCGAGCTTTCAGATTAACTCAACTTGGTTGCTTAAAACTTTTCTTTCCCTGGGGACTCTGTTTGCAATGGAAACATACCTCGTTTTATGCAACAGCTCATTTTCTGCCAGGCAATGATTAAAAGTTTTAATAACCTAATTATACTTTTATTTACTGAACCAATACTTGAAGGCTTGTTATGTACCACACACTGTATCAGGCACTGGACATTCAGACAGGCAAAATAAAACAAACAGTCCCATAGGTTCTCACTGTTTATAAAATAATTCGTTTTGGAGCTTCTTTCTTAAAAGTCTATTTTTAGTTGGAATCATCATTCACCAATTTCTGTATTTTAAATTTTAATTTCCCTTTGTTGAGTTTCTTAAATGTAAATTAATATGCAGGCAACATCCTCCTGCTTAATTTTTTAAAAGATTTTATTTATTTATTTGACAGAGACACAGTGGGAGAGGGAACACAAGCTGGGGGAGTGGGAGAGGGAGAAGCAGGCTCCTCGCTGAGCCAGGAGCCCAGTGTGGGGCTCGGGGTTCCTGGCTCGATCCCAGGACCCTGGGATCATGGCCTGAGCCGAAGGCAGACGCTTAATGACTGAGCTACCCAGGCACCCCTGCTTATTTTTAAATGAGTTATTCCCACAGCAATAATAACTATGGTTAATGGAATACAAAAAGGACTGTCCATTATCTATAGGGGATTTTACCCTCCCTGTTATTCAAGTAGATAATAAATATCCTATTATTTGAAGGCACAAAAAAACAGGTCACTTCCACACAGGTCCTTCTATGCACGCATGACAGCCCTCCTCCCCTCCCAGTGATATACTTGTTATGACCAGTCCTTGAAGCCCACCCTTCCAGAGGATTTGGTACAAGGATACTTGGGTAGGAGTAAAAAGAGGGAGAAGGAAAGAGTTTTAGGGCAACAGAGAAGAAAGGGTTTGTAGAGAAAAGCTAAGGACTCTTCCTGCATGACTCATTTGGCCAGGTGAAAAGCCTTCTGTATCTATGCAGAAAGCAGATAAACTGCAACATGAAGGATAGGGTTAAACTTCATGAAGTTCTTTGTAGTGATCAGAACAAAACAGAACAAAAACCATACAGGAACCAAGACAGTGTAGGAAAGTGAGGCATTCCCTCCCCTGAAAAGAAACCTGTTGGAAAAGAGGAAAAGACTCAAGAGAAAACAGAAGAAGGAACCCATTTCTGCAGGTACACTTTGTTTCCTTATTTCTCCACCTCCCCCTCGGTTTTACAAGTTCTCACCTTGGTCAGCTGATGCCTGCTATTACACGATGATGACTTCTGGGCAGCTATGTGAGGAAACCAAGTCTTTAACATCCCTTCTACCTGTAGCAAGGTTCCTAGGTAACGTTCCCTGTGAAAAAGACATTTCTTTAAAAAGCCATAAAGTGTGAAAAAACAAGAAGACAGGATTATAGATAACTCCTTTTTTATGAAGTACCGAGGAAAGAACCAGGGGAACTTACCCCATCTGTGGCTTCTGCAAAACACCTACAATACGCTGGATTCTATCCATTGCCACACTCTGCTGGAAACTGCTCAATCCTGGGGTCAGGGAGAGAGAAAGACATCAAGAGTTGAGATTCAAGAATTTTGTCAGGGAAAGGAAGGACAGAACAGGGTTAGAATAAATGCACCTAAAGAAATTAAATCCCAGATGCAGAAAGGTAATAATGTATCCTATGAAGATTTAAGAGAAATACACATTTAAAACATTGAGAGAAAGAGAAAGAGATGAACCTAGCAGAGATAATTGCAACTAATCAGATAATTACCTCTCTCAAATCGACCCATCTTCAGCCCATTCAGTAGGTCTGTGAGAGGGCGAATAAATCCTTGAAGCTCTTTACACTGTAGGAAAACAGGACAAAGGCTATGAGAGGACTGAGAATTGCCCATACAGTACTGTTCCTCCCCACCTCCAAATCTGGGAACCAACACTATCTTCCTAGGGTCCTTACTAACAATCTGGGTGCTAAGTCATTCCAGTATTGTCTCCTTTCTCCTGCTTTCTCTTACCTTCTGAGCAAAAAGCAGGTCTCCTTCTGTGGTACAACCCTGGATGTTTATGTTGGGCTGTAATTCACCATCTCTTGATCTTTTGACCCCAGATCCTGCCAAAGGAGATGCCAAGCCACGCTGTTCCAAGTGAGATACTGTATGTTGGTTGCTGGAAACCTTGGGCCGTTGCCTGCAGCGAATAGGACCAGGGCTGGGCCTAGAACCTCCCCTTTGCCCGACAGGGTCGGACCTGGGGTCATGGGTCCCCTTGTCCTCCCCCTCGCTATCGGAGGGGAGGCCAAAGTCACTGTTCACTGGGGAGGTGGAAAAAGAGGAAGAGAGAGAGTAGGAAGAACAGGAGAAAACGCTAGCTGGAGAATCCATAGGTTCAGAAGCAGGGGCTGGAGAGCAACTCCCGGAGTACCCAAAGATCGGAACCTGCAACTGAAGAGCAAAGCGAGGGAGTTTGTAACCATAACCTGGAAATTAGGAAATGGATTGGGAGACTGGGGTGTACTGTGTGGGACGGTAATACCTCTTCTCTCCTCCCCAGCATTACATGTCTCAGAGACAATAGAAAAAGTCATCTCCTCCTCCTGCCCGCCCCCCCCCCTCAGTTAAAAACCTGGACTGCCCCTCTGGCCTCCGCAGAACAGTTTCTCAGTATGATACAGACTGTTCTTCCTCCCCTCTGTTCAGAGTAAATTAACCGACTTGACACCGTCCCCTGACAGTTGTTCGCCAGGTCTGTTCCCAGCCTGACCCTGCAGTGAGGGCTACTGGAGAGCCCTAAATCCCTGGTAACCCACCCAGCCGTAGGGACGAGTGACCCCCGTAGGGACCACTCCCCACAGGACCCTCACTCCTCTTCCCAATCTTTCTGATCCGGATCTCTGAGCCGGGACCCTCTACAGTCGCGTCTGCCACGTGATGCTATCCTTCCCAATACCAAGATCTGCTTTCGGTCCCAAAACCTACTCCCTCCGGGTCTGATCCTCTCGCGCGGATCGCTTCCTTATCCTGCAAGCCTCCTCACCCGTACCGGTCCGCTCAGCCCAGGCTGTCTCCTGCTCCTTCTCTAACTCTGCGGGTCTCCGCTGCCCACCTCCGCCTCTCTCCCACTGGGTCCCGCCCCTTCTCTCCCCCCTCCCCGACACGTGCGGCTGGGCACGTGCCTTACCCCTGCGTACACAGACCTCGCATCCTCATTGGCCGTCTAGCCGGTGGCACGTGACTCTTGTTACTGAAGTTCACATTCCATTTGCTACAGCCTACAGGGACTCGGCCAATAGAGACCCAGGTAGATGACGATTGGCTGGAAGGGAATAATTCCGTGCCCCGCCCCTACATGCGGCTTGCGAACAGGACCCGGTGATGAGAAAAGACGGAGGACGGGAAAGAGTGGAAAAGGGCGGAGCCCGTGGCGTTAAATAGGATGATGGTGGGCAGAAGACGTGCGGTTGGAGTGTGCAGACTGGTTGTGAGATCTGCGGCTCGCGTGTTGCGATGTGGGACTCTGGGCTCCTCCTCGGTAGCAGCGCCCCCCCCCCGCAGCCCCCCTCCCCCCTGAGCCCCTCATCTCACGAGGGCAGCACGTGGAAGCCATCAGCGACTTGAGTCTGCAACGTGTAGTGAGAGAATGGATGTATCCCACTGTGTATCCTCTCCCCCTCTGGGCCGCGCGGCCCTCGTGACTCTCGGGTTTCTGCTTCACCCTCTCCGCCTCCTCCTCCTGCAAGCTGGGTGCCTCCTGCCCTGCTGGGTGAGGAGGGTGGGGACTGCCGCCGAGAACACCGCGTCCTCTCGCGCACTCCCACTGGGGCGGCTCCTCCGGCCCTTTCCTTACATAACCCGCCACGCACGTTACCAGCTCAGATGCCAGCCAGCCACGACTCTAGAGGTCAAAGCCGAACTCGGTTGTTCCTGACTTTTCTATCCGGGCTCCTCGGCCCCTGCGCCCTGAATTCTGTGACTTCTAGCGCAGGGAACGGAGTATGGGTAGGTCCCTGATTTCCTAATGGACCTTTGTCCAGCTTCATTTCCTTTATTTGTTCCCTGGAGAAGATTCGAAAGGCTTGGAAGGAGGGAAGGTGGCGAGTCCGGAGGTGACAGAGTCAGGAATTTACTATTCAGTGCCCCTTGCAGTACTCAAAGTACAGCGCGGCGAAGGAGAGGCTCGGGGACCGAGGGTTGATTGAGGTTGTGGCACCGAAGAGACCGCAAGGGGGCAGCCCAGTTCTGATTAGGGTCTCGAGGACAGAGAGTTAAAGTATGTCCCTGCCTGCCCTAATTAAGCGCCGGAAAAGGCACATTGTTGGGGGCTGGGGGTGTAAGTGGAGGAGGGTGTGAATTTTTAAGATCTATTCTAAGTAGTTTTTAATATTTTACATATGTTTAACAATGTGCTTATTTTATAAAAAGAAAAAAGTGTTCTACATAAACCTCAACTCTCTTTTCCCAAACACACTGTCTCAACACCATGTGTAATAAAATATTAAAATTAGATGAAATTAACTGTCTGTTGGTGCTCTTCTCCATTTTTCACATTTCAGGTTTATTCACAGTCCTAACTATTCCCTCTAATTCTACTGCCACCTAACTCCCTTTCTAATCTACCCTTCCATCCCCATATCCTGGTGCTCTCTTTAGCCTTGTGAGATTAGAACAGACCCTTATGAAGGAGTAGACAGAAACCGGATTATTTCATTTATTTATCTTCCAATTTCCTCTTCCCAAATCCCCATCAAAAGAGTTGTAGCAGCCTTCTTTCTCCTAAAAAAGCAAAGAAAAAGGGAAAAATACGGGGCCCAGGAGGCTCAGGAAGCCCTTCATGCTCCCCCCCCCACCTCTATGAAAAGTCCACAGATTTCATATTCTGGGCTAGATTTCCCTCATCTCCTGGAAGATATGTCCCCTCCCCTCCTCACTCCTTTCTCTGGTAAGTCTCTTCACCCATAGTTATTTCGAATCCCAATTTTAAATCCCTTTCCTATAGTACAGGCTTCTCTTCCCTCCTTCTTGCCTCCACCATCTCTCCTCTACTTTAGGGAACCAAACACCACCCCTTCTGCCTCTGAACTTTGCCTCTTGACTCTGCCAGGTTGTAGGGCACCTCCCACTATGCCCTCTGGCAACTGCCATATCTTAAACTACCTCCTGGCTGGAACAAGCTTTAATTCCTCAAGGAAATCTGGAGAGGTTTCTTCTGTTTCACCTGCTTCTGCTGTAGGAGGTCCTGAAGTTCTCCCAGTTCAGAAAAAGTAATGACTCTCATTTGAAAAGTCTTTGCCTCAACATCTCCTAAACCTCTTTAAAATTAGAGAGGATTTTTCTAAACGGGACCCTTGACCTTCAAGCAGCAGAGAATTGATTGACCAGGCTGGAAACACTAGCCAGAGATATTTGTAAAAAATTACTTCATGGACTCCCCCAAGGCCAGTGGCTGCACTCTCACCTTCTACATGAAATACATCCCCCCCTGAACGAGGGCCCAGGACAGGAGGAGGGGAACAGGACTCTGCAGACTGGATACAGCATCGTTCAGATCTGGACTCTGCTAAAATACAGACATTCCCCCACGGTAGGCCAGTGTCATCCTTCCTACCATCCCTCCTCCCCCTCTGGAAGGATAGCCATCTCTTTATACAAACCTCAGTGTTTCTTTCTTCTGAGCTTAGAGAAAGATCCAGCTCTCCTCCCCATAACTATGAGGAGTCCTTTCCTCTGTGCCTTTCAGCCTCCTGAGCATACCAGGGGGGGTCAGCTCCATTCAACAATGTGTATTTTTTTATCTGTTATGTGCATGACACTATGCTTAGTCACAGCGCTAGGTGCTACAGCGGGGTTGTAAGTGTGATTAAGACCTTGCTCCTTTCTTCAGAGAGTTTACAATCTAAATGGAGCCTACTATATACCTTAAAATATTACCTTGTCCTTGTCATCAATCACCAACTTTCCATTCTTACTGATTCCTCCCATCTGTGTTCAACTATATTCAGGCTACACTTTGATCCTCTTGCCCTTTCTGGCTGTTGCTTCTCTCTTTTCATTACCAGATTTCTCAATAATTGGTCTTATTCTCCCTTACGTTCTTCACAAGGTACTCCCTCTCTAACTCCACAAAAACCTAACTTTTGCTTAACCACTCTAAAACTTCTTTCTTTGGAGCTACCAATGACCTCCTTTTCTTTGGCCTCTTGGTTGCTTTTTATTGATTATATTAAACTTTATCTTCTAGATTCTATAATACAGACTTGCCTCTCTGCCTACCTCTTCAATCAGTTCTTCTCCATTTCCTTGGTTGATTCCTCTTCCTCCTGCTAACTACAGGCATAGTCATTGGCCTTTGGTCTTCTGTGTACTGGCTTTATTGAGCTTGTCTACTTTCGTAACTCTGACTTTGCACTTAGAACTGTAGCTCTGATGTAGGTCAGCTACCTTTAGGACAGCTACCTTTAGGACACCCTGATAGGGTTGTCACCATAAATTCAGCTTGGCCAATACCTAATTTATGTAAATACCTAATTTATAACTTCAGTCCTAAACCATTCTGACCTTTCACAGTTCCCCTTTTGGTCAGCCATTTTCCCAGACATCCATATTTGAAACTTGTAAACTATTTCAACTCTCTCCTCATTTATTGCTCATTGCATTTTCTTCAAAATATTTATTTTTATCCTCTCCATTCAAAATGCTATTCCCCTAGTCCAAGCCTTTAATGGATTGTTTCCAGAATGATGTAAATCTCATGCATCTCTCTCCATTCCACTGCATCCTGCATATAAGAAATAGTTCTTCTAAAATACCACTTTCACTCTATCTTTACCACACTAAAGAACTTACTAGACTCCTTTTTAAAGTCCTTTTTAAGTGCTTTTAAGTCCAGACTTCAGCCTGACACTTCAGATTCTCTTGTGATTCAGCCCTATTGCTTTCCCTATGTGAAATTACCAAGCAAATATTAGGAGACTTGTAAAGGTTAATTTTTTTAAAAATTTCCTACTGTTCCTTCCCATACACCTTCTCCTTCAATCATACCTATCCACCAAACATGCCATATTCTGTCCCCTCACCAATGCAGCTCTTACATCTGCCATTCTTCCTTCTAATTGTTTTCCTACTTTCATAATTTACTGCCACTCAAAAGCTTACCTATTCTTCAAAGTATATCTCACCTTCTAAGAGTCTTTGAGGCAACTCCAGTGTATTCTGATTTCTGTCCTTCCACTGACTAAAACACTTGCCCATGTCAGATGCTCTCAGATATATATGTAATTGAACATGGTTATGAACCTCTTCATTTTGTCCTAAATGTTTTGTAAGTGTGAATTGAATTTTATAAATACTTTATCAAAAACATCATAGATTTCCTTTCCATCATCAGCAGAATCCTTCACAGTGAGTGGTCATAGGTTACATACACATTTAAGTACTATTGAACTGACATTTAACTGCACCAAATCTTTCCAGTTTTCTGAATACAGGGTTAGTATTAAATTTCAATGAAGGGGCCCCTGGGTGGCTCAGTCAGTTAAGCGCCCAGCTCTCGGTTTCTGCACAGATCATGATCCCAGGGTCCTGGGATTGAGAGCCCCATGTCTGCTCCACACTCAGCAGGGAATCTGCTTGAGGATTCTCTCATCCCTGCTTCCCCTGGTGCACGCTCTCTCTCTCTCTCTCTCTCTCTCTCTCTCTTAAATAAATAAATAAATAAATCTTAAAAAAAAAAAAAAGGCAACTAAACAAAATCTCAGCGAGAGGTATGATGGCCAAGCTGAGCTAGACACCTGCATTGCTATATTAGTTATTTGGTTCCTTCTTCCACCGAAGCCTATTATTTCAGCCCTCCCTCTGTTCTCTGTCACCAGCCCTGGGATCCACCACTGCCCCCCCCCCGCCCCGCCCCACCATCCCCAACCCACTTACTGGTTCCGTTGTCATTGGTTTCACTGTTTCTGGCTTCTGAGTGTCTGCACCTTCTGTTTCATGACTAATGGTAGTCTCTGCTGCTTCCCTTACCTCCTTATCCAGCCTGTTCTGCCCTCAGTAGGATCAAGAAACACAAAGTTATCATTGCTTCCATCCAACATCCTCAGAGTTTTTCTGTTTAGACTCCTTCTCTCCTGCACCCCCATCCCCCAAAACTTAAGCTCAGGGATCCTCCCTACTTTACGTTTGCATAGATTATGTACCCTATCGCATCACCAATTCCCCAGAGTCAAGGTGTGCCCCTCCCTCTCAATGTCTTCGCAAACCTACTGAGTTCTGGTTTTATTCTCTTCCCCAACTGTGGTTAACATGTCTGCTTTGGGCCTCTTTCCCAGTTCCATTTCACTAACTTATTTGCTTTCCTGCTAATCATTTATATTTCGACATTGCCCAGTTCTTTTTTTAACTGTTAACTATCCCGACCATCTGAGATGTAGAGGTCGCTCACCAGTCTGTCCTCAGATTCAAACATGGAGTAATCAACAGTGAAATTTGCACCAAAGTCATCTGGGGAGGAGAAAAAATCAGTAGTGACAAATGAAAAAGGTAGCAGTAGGTCAAGAAACGGAAGGAGGTAGAAACTGCTCAGAATACTTTAACTTGCTCAAGTTGCAAAATTTACTGGTGTAATCTAATTCTAATGAACTTAAATGTTAAAAATGTTTTTGAATGTATCTGCATTTATGTTTTCAAACTGGTATTGAAAATAATTTACAAATTTGAAAATCTTCAAACTGTTTCAGCCGGTTTCCAAAGAATTGAAAATCACTAGCTTGAGAAATAACATTATGAGGCTTGATAAGGGCTTTGCTCATAGCCTAATTTCTCTCTGATCTAGTTGTTCCCATTGCAAAGAGAAAGGCAAAGTCTCAGAACTAAATCTCCCCAAAACCTCTGTGCATCCTGCATAGCTCAGAGCCTTATACATACTCACCATAATTGGGGGTGACTGTGTAATAATAGATCACCTGATAATAATCATCCTCTTCCAGTCCTTTTTCATCCTCATATTCTTGTCCTATGGGGACAAGGACTAGAAGTCAGGGAGCATCTGGAACTCCTTAGCAAGAGAAGGCCACCAGAAGGTGACCTCGGCTCTATCAATTTCTTTTCTCTCTGCCTCCCCCTCCAAGGGTCTTACTATCTCACTGCCTCTAAACCCTCCTCAGTCTTTGGGGCTCCATATCTATGATGAGGGCTGTTACTCCATGCCCTTTCAATTTAGGAACTCCTAGAGAGAAAACAGATCCCTTCACATTCTGTAAACCCAAAATGAGAGCTAAAGCTAAAAAAGGTAGGAAGCAGAGGTGCCAGCAAAGAAGAACTCCAAATCGCCTCCCCAGTACTCTGCACACCATACTGGATTTGTGAGAGCCCTCCTTCTCTTCTTGGTGTGTCTCACATATAACACAAACACACATCTTAGGCTTTTGGACTTGGGTTTTAGTTCCGGATTCACCGCTAACTAGCAGAACAATCCTGAAGAAGCCACTTAACATCCGCTCTCTTTAAATGAGTCAGCTGGACTAAATGACCCATCTGCCTTAGTTTTTCTTCCTTCCCAGGACTAAAAATATGTGGCTTTGGCATGATTAGATCACAGACTCCAGGCCTCCAACTACACATTTCCCTAAGCTCCTTGAATGCTCTCCCCAAACCCCAGGCAATGACACAGGAATCTGGAGGAAAAGGAAACAATGAGAGTACCTGGCAGCCTGGGAACAAAGGAGGGAAGGAGCCAAGCTACTTTTGGGACTCTCTCCCGGAGGGAAGCCAGTTCTCCACTACCCTAATGGCCAACCCCCCCATTTCTGTTTCCTTACTAATATAACGGTTTTTCTCCAGTCCTCTGGGAAAGAAGATACCCCGGCTTCTCTCACCAGTTTCAGACTGCCCCACCTTCCAGGAGCCCACCTCTCTCCTCCATCCTCTCTGGAGTCCCTCTCCATCTTACTCAACTCTGGTGATGGAGAGCTAAGGTCACTCTTGTTAGGACCTCCAAGTATCTGGGGCTCCATCCGCATCAGCTGTCTCTTCTTTGATAGGACTCTGCTTTCCTCCCCTTTTCCTGGCTCTATGTTCCAGGTCCCTCCCCCTGCCCCCAACTGGACTCTGGCACAGATGGGTGTTATCACTCTCCATCAAATTGCGCCTCTCACCCTCTCCTCATTTTTCTTTTCTCCCACCCCACTTATGATAGAAGACCTGGTCCAAGAGCTCAGGGAGAGAAGTGAACTTACCTAGGATAAGTTGCACAGCAAGGATGGCTACGAAGAGGACATCCATTCTGGATTCTGCACTATTGTTGTGAAAGTAAAAAAGGAAATTACAGAGTTTCTAACCAAACTTACCCCGCCTTCTGCCCTCCTCCAACGCTGCAGCAACTCTTCTCCCAGGGGGTTGAATTCCCCACCCACTTGCTGACAGACTAGATCCTCAGTTGTGACTGGTCAGCCAGATCTGCCCAGATTAAGAGAGGCAAAGTGGGTTTTGAGGTGAATGGGTGCACTGAATTCCCCAGCCCTAGATTAGATCCATTCAGGACTCCAGAGGTGGCCACCACCAAGACAAGCTAACAAACAAGCAAAAAGCCAAACCAAAACAAAAAACCTCAGCTGGCCTAGGAACTTCCTGTCTCCCCTCCTCTCCTTCCCTCCTCAGTCCTCACAACAAGATCCCCCTCCTTCTCACTGTCCCTGACTTACCATCACCAAGCAGACTTGAGGCTTATGCACAGTCTCTCTTCACAGGCAAAATGTTGTGAGGAAGGGATGAGAATTTTTTCTGGACTGAAAAAAATTCCCTCTCCTCTGCCTATCTTGGATTATGAAGTACACAAGCAATATCAACATCATTGTCTGATATTCAAAGCACTTACTGCATTACTTCTGATAAAAATCTCTCATCCAAGGCTAGTTATTTCCTCTCTAGTGAGTACTGACCTCATTTCGTTTCTTTCTCTACTTTCTGGATACAGGATGGAAGAAGGGAGGAAACAGCCTCTTTTCCCGTATAGATGCCCCCGTCCTTCTCCCACTTTCAGTCACTTGGTATGCTCCCTTCATTCCAGCCCACAGGGATAGAGGTCATCTCACTGTTTTCTCTGCTTTTGTATTTCCCCTTTTCATTTCATTCAACTCAGAAACATTTAGTAACATATATGCTGGGCCTGGTCTGATAGGCAATGCAGGGTCTACTGGCAAGGGGATGAGCGTCGTTATGTTTTTTAAGAGGAAGTTGATAAGTTTCTATTCAACATCTACTAAGAGCCAGGTACTATGAGGGTCTCTGTGGAACCACCTGTGGACAAGACAGGTTTAGGTGCCTGCTCTCATCGGTCAGAAGGTGCTGTGGTAATAGCTCAAAGGAGAGATAAGAAAAGTTGTCTCACTCCTATCTCTTCCCCTGACTCAGCCTGTTAGGCTCAGAAGCAAGACATACTGGAGTTTTGAGCACTGGCCAGGATGTTTCCATCCTCTCAGCCTTTTGGGGGGAGGATTTGCCTGATTATGGTGTTTTCCATGTAAATCTACACAACCTATTCCTTCAGCTCCTTTGAAGAATTTCCTGGAAAAAAAATGTAAAATGCTTATGTGGATGTACCCATATGCATTAAGTCATAAGTCATTTCCAGGAAGGAAAGGAAGCCTGGTTCTCTTTGAACAATTTCTGTGGTTTTTTGGTACTTTGAGAGTCTCTCAAAAACAATTTTCCAGATGTCCTCACTTTCCCATCCTGGTACTCTTTTACCTAAATATCCTTCCTAAAGGCAGACCCTAGCCCCATCCAAATGAGGTTACAATACCCTCTTCTCCTACTTTAATTTTCTCTCACTGTGATACACATAGCCACTGTGCCTTCCACCAGCCTAAGGAAAAGATACCACTGAGGTTCATTTTCAGAAAATAAATGGAGGAAGTGTGACCTAAAAGGAACTGTGTGACTTGGCTGGTGTGTGTGTATGTGTATGTGTATGTGTGTGTGATTTTCCTTCAACCCCATAGCTCGAATTGCTTTTTTACAAACAGTCTTAACTTTGAATCTTAACACCAAAGCCCAAGTAACCTCCTTCCTAACATTGCTTCCCAGGCTCCTATTCTTCTGATTCACTGGTCATGACAGATGAAGGCTTCATTAGCGATATACCCACAGAATTGCATGTTTCCTATACTAGCCTGTTAAAAGAATCTTACTTTTAAGTCTAACCTTCATCTCTTAGGCAGTAGCTCTAGCCCGTTTCCTCTCATTCAAGTAAGAACAATACCCGTCCCTATCTCCCTGCACCCTCTATCCTGTGCTTCTTTGTATTTGTCCTTTAGGTTCCAACAGGATCTTCCCCCCACTCCCCCCCCCCCGCCCCCCCTGCAGCTCTTCACGAAGACATAGAATTGCTACCACTCTTCCACAAAATAACGAAATGAAGCCGCAGGCAAGGCCCATCGGGACCCAGGAACCCAGGCCAGTCCCAACCCACTCCCTTCTTTGACCCGCTGGAGCCACTCCCAGAACGCCTGTCGAAGGCTCAGTAGGGCAGAAGGACTACAACTCCCAGCAGGTAGTACTGCCCCGCCCCCGAAGCTCCGCCCCCGCAGAATCTCCATTGGCCTTCGGTGGGTGGGGATTGGATGGGAGGTGGCCATGGGGCTGCGACTGGGGTTTGTTCCCTCTTCGGCTTCCGTAGAGGAAGTCGCGCGGACCTGTATCTGGGGTTTCGGTGTCCCCCCTCCCCTTCCCCGGGGTCCGGGGGTGACATTGCACCGCGCCCCTCACGGGGTCGCGTCGCCACCCCAAGCGGACTCCCCAGCTGGCGTCCTGCCCCCATCCACCCCTCTTGGCCAGGCTTTCCACTCCGCCCCCTGCTGCTCAGCCATGGGGGCCGCAGTGTTTTTCGGATGCACTTTCGTCGCTTTCGGCCCGGCCTTTGCGCTTTTCTTGATCACTGTGGCTGGGGACCCTCTTCGCGTCATCATCCTGGTCGCGGGGTGAGTAGGGGGTCGACGAGACGCGGGAGGGCGCCAGAGAGAGAGAGATCCGGAAGGGGCTGGGCAAGCTTGGGAGCCTGAGTTGGGGGAGACAAGTCGGAGGTGAAGATTGGAAAGCGTAGAGTCAGGGGTGTAGATGATTTGCCCTTTCCCGCAGTTGGTTTCCGCCTTCCAGGGATTGCACAGATTCCTCCTATACTCCTCCCGGCGACGTCAGAGGAGACCCAAGGCCAAGACTCGTGAGGGGGGTGTGCTGACCTCCGGCGGCCTACGGGAGGATCCAGGAATGGATACCTCTCGCTACTGCGCGCGTACATTCTGGCTTTCATCTCTCTGAAGACTCATTAATCAGATTTCTATCCCTTCCCCTGCGTCCAGATCCCTACTTGACTCCCTTGGTGGAGACACCGATCCTGTCTCCTCCCAGTCTCCCTGACCATCCGGAAGTCTAACTTCCACTTTCCATGCTGTAGCCTTGATTGGTTCCTCTCCTTGATTTCTCTGGCTCTCCCTACCCTGACCTGTCTGATTGCCCTTGTCTTTCCTCAGGGCATTTTTCTGGCTGGTCTCCTTGCTCTTGGCCTCTGTGGTCTGGTTCATCTTGGTCCATGTGACCGACCGGTCAGATGCCCGGCTCCAGTATGGCCTCCTGATTTTTGGTGCTGCGGTCTCCGTCCTTCTACAGGAGGTGTTCCGCTTTGCCTACTACAAGCTGCTTAAGTAAGAAGATGGGATGGTTCCGAGGGGAGAAGGGCAGAGGACTGCACTATGAGAAGCGGGGCAAAATGCTGGGTGGTGGGTTTGGAAGAGGAGGCACTAAGGGAGACATTAGAGGGAAAGGAGCATTTCTGCCCTCCCTCATATTTCCCCTACCCCACCCCACCCTGCCCCATCCCAGGAAGGCAGATGAGGGGTTAGCATCGCTGAGTGAGGACGGAAGATCACCCATCTCCATCCGCCAGATGGCCTATGGTGAGCCAAGGGAGAGGGACTGGAGGAGGGAGTTGGACACCCCCCCTCTCCCAGGGAAGTAAAAAAACATCCACGTGTTCTAAGTGGCTGCTGCTTTTCCTTCATACCTGACTTCCAAGGAGAGGTGGTCTGGAGGGGAGAGTAGGTGTGGGGGAATTGCCACTGGGAATGGGGCGGGATCACTGGTAATCAGGTTCTAGAGATCTGTAACATTGATGAGACCCTCCTTCCCCCCAGTTTCTGGTCTTTCCTTCGGTATCATCAGTGGTGTCTTCTCTGTTATCAATATTTTGGCTGATGCACTTGGGCCAGGTGTGGTTGGCATCCATGGAGACTCACCCTATTACTTCCTGACTTCAGGTAAGGTCTGCTTTCCGGCTTGCCTTCCTGCCCTATCCATCCCTGGCCTTGATCTGGTTTATTAGCCTTCACTGGGAGACCTCTTTGGCTCAACATCTCAGGAGGCTGGGAAAAGATCAGGGATGTAGCTCATCCCCATCTCCCTCCCTGCAGCCTTTCTGACAGCAGCCATTATCCTGCTCCATACCTTCTGGGGAGTTGTGTTCTTTGATGCCTGTGAGAGGAGACGGTACTGGGCTTTGGGCCTGGTGGTTGGGAGTCACCTACTGACATCGGGACTGGTGAGTTGGGGATACCGGGCTGAGTTAGAGAGAAAAAACTTTAATGGTGAGTGGGATGGAGGGGAGATAGATTCTCACTTCTTAACATTTTAAAACGTACCTAGAGAGGCGTGGCAGAAAGGTAAGTGTCTAGAAGTCTCTCACCTCAGCATCAGTTGTATAACCTGCTCTGGGGATGCTCTGGGAGGAGTTTGAATGGGTTAGTCCGACTGTAATACAAATGGCTGAGAGGAGCAGGAGGGTCAGAAACCTCTGGGGTAGCTGAAAATCAAAAGTCCTCTTAAACCACAAGATGTTGGTGCCCTGAAGGGAAGGATGGGGGAGGGGTGGGGAGGGTTTGAATGAGCCACCTGGGGTCGGGGGAGGTTTGGGTCAAAGGCACGAAAAGAATGTGGCGATTAAGGCAGAGGGAGTAACTAACTTCTTTTCTACTCTTACCCTATCCCTAGACATTCCTGAACCCTTGGTATGAGGCTAGCCTGCTGCCCATCTATGCAGTCACTGTTTCCATGGGGCTTTGGGCCTTCATCACAGCTGGAGGTTCTCTCCGAAGTATCCAGCGCAGCCTCTCGTGTAAGGACTGACTACCTGGACTGATCGCCTGACAGATCCCACCTGCCTTCCCACTGCCCATGACTGAGCCCAGCCCTAGCCCGGGTCCATTGCCCACCATTCTCTGTCTCCTCGTCGGTCCATCCCACCACCTTCAGGGTTTTGCTTTGTCCACTCGTCACCTTTAGTATCTAGGCTTCACCAGGAGCAGCCTGGGTTCAGCCAGTCAGTGACTGGTGGGTTTGAATCTGTACTTATCCCCACCATTTGGGGACCCCCCTCGTTGTCCAGGACTCCCCATGTGTCAGTGCTCTGCTCTCACCCTGCGCAAGACTCACCCCCCTTCCCCTCTGCAGGCCGCCGGCAGGAGGACAGTCGGGTGATGGTGTATTCTGCCCTGCGCATCCCACCCGAGGACTGAGGGAACGTGGGGGGGACCCCTAGGCCTGGGGTGCCCTCCTGATCTCCTCGCCCTGTATTTCTCCATCTCCAGTCCTGGACAGTGCAGGTTGCCAAGAAAAGGGACCTAGCTTAGCCGTTGTTGTGGAGATGAAATTAATGGAGGCTCAAGGGTAGACGAGCTCTCAGTTTCCCAGTACCTCCTCCCCAGACTGGGCATCTTGATCTTTTTCTCAGGTCTGAGGGGAACCATTTTTGGTGTGATACAGACCCCAAACTGCCTTTTTCTTTTCTTTTTTCTTTTCTTTTCCTTTCCTTTCTTTCTTTCTTTCTTCTTTTTTTTTGAGTGGGGGAGGGAAGAGGTGTGTTGGAATTCTTCTAACCTCCTTGAACTATATTTTTTCTCCCCAAATTGCTCCTCATGGTGGGGCTTATATCTATCCACCTTTCCCCTTTGTCCCAGGCCTTGGGGGAAAGGAAGGAAGTGCATGTTTGGGGAAACTGGTATTACTGGAACTAATGTTTTAACCTCCTTGACCACCAGCATCCCTCCCCTCCCCAAGGTGAAGTGGAGGGTGCTGCGGTGAGCTGGCCCACTCCAGAGCTGCAATGCCACTGGAGAAGTCAGACTACCATGACATCACAGGGAAGGAGGGCAGATTTTTTTCTAGTTTTTAATTGGGGGAGGGGAGGGGGGGGTGGGGAGGTTTTCTATAAACTGTACCATTTTCTGCTGAGGATGGCATATCGCATCCTTTTAATCAAGGTGATTGTGATTTTGACTAATAAAAAGGACTTTATAATTGTGGGGGGACTTGGCTTTTAAGGGAGGGGATAACATGTTAATCAAGACCTCTGCCCTCCCACATCTCTTATCCAACCTCCTTCCTTATCTGGCAACCTCTGATTCCCTCCAGCATAGCTTTGGTATAAGGACAGAAATCTGGGCTGGCACTCTCACATGTCAGGAACTTTGGGTTAAGTATTTTCCAGAGGCAGATCTCCCCTTGCAGGACTGGGGTAAAAAGAGTCATTTACCTATGCTTCTTTTCCCCTGTCCTTTGCCAACCTCTGCCACCTGAGGGATTAAGGAACTCCTCGCCTCTCAAGAGCCCCAAAAGAAGACCAGAGGTGGGATTAGAAATTTTTCATTTCCAGATATATTGAGCCAAAAAAACAAAAACAAAAACCCAACAGCAGCAACTCTTTTTCCTAAGGGGAGGTCCTGCCCTATATCTAGGGAAAAAGACATAAAGGTAAGGGGGTGGATGACTTTGGGAGGTACATCCCCAACTTCCTCCACAGCTAAACACAGTTTGCCATCTGCATTGTCAACATAGGGTTGTCCTGATCTGTACATTTCGAGAGGTCAAAGGCTCTGCTCTTAGTCCACGAACCAGAGCCTGTCCATGCCTCTCTGTAGGGGCTGTCTGGAGGAAGGAGGTGTCTCTGCCCACTACTCTTACAGTATTTTCTGACCAGTCCCTGCACCTCATTTTAGAAGCTCTCCAGTTGGCACAAGGGGAAGGCATCCATGATGTTGGCAATGGGGCGGGGGGGGGGGGGAGGGGATCTATGCCTCTGTGGCTGGTGCTGAGGTGAAGACCACGCTTTTCCGGTTTCCCAGTCTCTTCTTCCTGGAAGGGGGAATGGTTCATGGAAATTACTAGTGTCCTAGGTGAAACAGATTACAATAGAACAGAGTGCTTTCAGTAGAAAAAGGACTGAAGGAATGGAAAGTAGGACCTCACCTGATCTTCCTAGCGATGAAATAAACAGCCAGTAGAAGGCAAAGACAGCCAACCAAGATTCCCACTCCTAGACTCAGCATTTCGCCTGGGAGAGACAAACACGGAAGGTGTCATCCTAAGAGTGACAAAGATACTGAGACTTTGCCTTGCTTACTGTGGTGTGCTCCCCCCGGCCCCCACTTGGTTCAGGGTGTCTTACCTGTAGTATAGGAGGATTGCACTGTAAGGGAAGAAGATGCTGGTCAGTGGGACTTGAGCTCCCCATTCCAGCTGGGAGCAGCACACTATGCCTCCATGCTGGGGGAGATCATCACTTGGCACTCAAGGGACTGGTGGTAGTCCTAGTCCAAGCAAGTCCTAGAAACCCCTTCCCCTCCCAGCCTTTCTTTTCTTCCCAGGGGGCCCTAGTTCCTGTTGCCGTGCCTCCCAATTTCCCATCTCCTTTTCCAAGCCCGGTACAGTCACCTTGGATGAAAGAAGCAGAGACTATTCGCTGATTGAGAGGCTGGGGGGCTCGGTAGTTCTGTACCAGGAGCTTAGAGGGCTCCTCTTCTGTGGAAAACAACGTCTCCTGAAGCTCTTTCAGCTGAGGAGTAGAAGGGTGGGTTGAGGGGAGAATTGTCACTTTGTGGAGCGGGAAAGGGTGTGAGGTTATGTCCCTGCTGCCTCACCTCTCCATGACTCACCTGTTCCACCGAAATCTGAGCCCTTCGATTGAAGACTGTCCACAGCACACTCTGATAGCAGGGGGGTGTGGTGAGTGAGCCGTTGTAGCGAAAGAACTGGTCCCGCCGTGGGGGGAGCAGCTCTCCCACGTTGAAGGGAGGCACCGAAGTCTTCTGATCTGGAGGAGAACAGACTAGGACTCCTCTTCCCCTCACTGTACCCCAGCTTACTTAGATAGAGCTCCCAGAAGCAAAAACCCCTGGCCCCTAACTCACTGTCATCCTAGGCCTCATAGGCCTTTTTGGGCAAATACCCCTGAGGTCCAATCTCACAGGCTCACCTTTATGCCTAATTTCATGCAAGTGACTCAGAATGTGTTCATAAACTGGATTCTTGGTCTCACCCACCTGGAAAGGGAGAGTTTGGAATGAGTCCCCGTTTGAAGTATGATGTTCACATATAGAATAAATTGGCAGTTAGAATGGGTTGCTGACTAGCCTAGGGAGGGAGAGCAGCAATAGACATGGGGAGAATAGGACTGCAGGGTGTAGAGAGATTGGAGAGAAACCTGGGAGGGTGTGGGGGGCCACTGACCTCAATGAGAATGCCCAAGACAGCTAGGCCCTGGGGCTTCGGAGCAGCCTCACTCAAGCTGTCGTAGGAATCAGAATCATAATGTACAATGTGGAGCTGAGGGAGGGGAGAGGGAATTAAATCATTTAATGTTTCTCCATTACCCCTTCCCAAAGGCTTTGACCCTAGCCACCACAACCACCTCCAGAGTGCCCTAAACCTGTCCCACAAAGGTGGAACTTTCCCCAGTTTCCAGATTCTTCCTTTCCCTGGCACCAACCATGCCCGTTGCTATGTCCCAGTCCACGCTTTGCTCCCTGGTACCTCAGCAGCTGTGGCTTCACTGTTGATTTGGTGCTCTGATCCGCCCAGTGATCCCGTCTTGCCCCAGTGCAGGTGGAGCTGGGCAGCTACATATTTTCGGGGAAGTCCCTCCAGATACATGGTAGAGGGCAGAGAGAGTTTCACTGTGATGACAAGAGAGCAAGCTAGGGTTGGTGGAGGAGTGTGGAGACATTCCTACCCCTCTGATGCCATTGTTCCTTGGGAGACTCGGGCCAGCCTTTTCTACCTCCGTTCCCCAGTGGCACCCAGTCCTTCCCACCACGGCTTTCCTAGCATATCTCTCCCTTTCTCAGTGAGGATCCAGTTGCTGTTATGATGCTAAATCCACCCTGATTGTAGACATTCACTCTCCACCTTTGGCTTTCGTATCTCCAGATTTGTAGATGAAACCTTCTGAGAATTTAGAAGTTAGGCAAATGCTTCTTTTCCCTGACTTCTAAGATTGGAACTGGAGTTTATCTCTCCGTGGAGCCTGGGCTTTTTACCTGTGTGGCCATTATTGTGCAGGTCCAAAGGCTCAGTGCTAGGCTGGTCATATCCATGGAGCTGCAGGGGACGTAACTCAGGATCGAAAGTCACACTGTCTGTCTGGATATTGATGGGGGATTGGGCATTGCTTCCACATTCAGGGTAAGAGGCTGACCAGTGGTCTTGACCACGTGGGCCTGGTGGAGAGTACCATGGTCATTTGTCCTGCCCTCCAAGCTCCAGCCACCCTTCAGGAACTCCCTCCCACCCCAACCTTTGGCAAAGACCCCAGGTGTAGGGCTACATGAGGAAGGGGTCCCTGATGGACTTGATGCGGCAGCACCCTTCACCTTCCCTGAGGCAGTGATGATTCCCCCACTTTTCTGATAGATAAGAGTAGTGGCTTTTACTTACCTGTAGTTTGGGGACAAGAAAGCTGAATGAAAGGAAAAGGGGATGGATAGAAAACCTGCATGCCTGGAAAGGTGGGACTAGAGCCGAAGCAGGAAAGCTGGGGAAATAAAATGATCCTAGAATGATGAATGATTCTTGGGGGCCCCCCAGGAAGTGGCCTGGGGATTTCGTTCCCTCTGCTGACTCCCCACCATTCATTTTTCGCTCTCACACAGGACTTTGCATTGATTCTGGAATTTGCTTATTAGTCAGAAATTCAAAGGAATTGAGTCCGCCTCCGTCAGGGTCACCAACTATCCTGTCAGCCTCCTGGACGGACCTCAGGCTCTGTCTCAATTCCAGATTAAGTAGGATCTCTGAGGTCAGAAAAAGAGCCAGGAAGTGGTGGATGGGCAGCTAAGATCAGTGTTCCTTTCCCTACCTGGTTTCCTCTCCACTCCAGCTCCCTCATCCCCACACACACTGACTGAGGACATCACTGGCTTTTCTGCTGAATCCGGAGGTGTGGGATTTGACAGAACCGGGTCTAGGAGTCATATACGTAAAAGGTAGGGTCTGGGGGTCTGGGGGAGGGAGGAGCTGGGGTCGGAAGCTAAAGGCAACTCCCCACCCACTCGAAAGAAGTCTTCCCGGCAGGTGAAGAGGTCCCAGTGCGAAAGGGGTAGCGGAAGGCCCTGGATTCTGCTCTCACCCTCGTATGTCCAGTGTTGACCTGCAAGGCAGAGAGAGTGGGGTGGCCGCCAGCCCTCTCCCTCCCGTGGACACTGCGCCGCCCCACCTCCCTCTCTACTTTCCCCACCCTCCTCCCAGAGCACTTCTCGAAGGAAGCCCTGAAACCGGACACCTCGGCGGAAAGGTCAGGGGCCCTATTTAAAATCGCCAGCCTTGCGGCGAGGGAGCGTGCTGAGCAGAGGGGGGAGGAGAAAGGAAAAGGTAGAGCCCGGAGACTAAAATTAACCCGGACCCAAAAGTGCAGCTTGCCCGGCCCTCCTTTCGCTCCCGCGGGAGCCAAGCCAGTCCGACACTTAGAAGATTAGGGTGAGGTGAGGGTGTGGACAGAGGATTTGGAAGAGAGGGACTAGAACGGGGGAGTGGGAGGGGAGGAAGGTTGTGTGCGGTGAAGGGGGCGTGGGGGGGGGCGGAGGACGGATGCTGCTCCCCAAGGGAAGAAGAGCCATTATTCATTGGGTTTGAAGCACCCCGTCGGGGCTTGAGGGGAGGCCCTTGGCTGTGAATTAACATTCAAGTTCTTCCGGTCCTAGGAGCTCTAAAGGAAACTTTGCCCATTACCAGGAGCCTCTGCTTTCTAGATCCCCAGATGGCTAGGGAAGGTGGGAGTCGGGGCAGGTCCACGCCACGTTGAGGGTGGTGGTGGGTGGGCACCGGCAGCCAGGCTGGCAGACACAGGCTGAAAGTGAGGCATTGTGTGCGGAACAGAGAGCTGCCAACTGGGTCACATGCTCCCGTGCAGTCCTATCTCAGGCCGAAAGCCTGAGGTGGGGGTTGGGGGGTCTTCTGGTCCAGGCTCACCCAGGGCCAAAGGGCTTCAGCGTGAAAAGGAAGGCCTTCCCGCAGGTTTTCTCTCTGTTATTCCCATTCTAGTTCAAATTCAAGCTCTGGGAAAAAAACATCCTAAATTCCTTCCAATCTCTCTTACTCCCTCAAATTCCTCAGACTTCTAATATCCTTGATCTCATCCTTGGGCTCTTTTCTCACCCATCCCTTGGTTCAGACAACTCTGAAAGGCAGCCCAAGGGGCAGGGCTGGAGGCAGCCTCTCCCTCACCAGCTCCATGGGACTCTCTGTCAACTTGAATTCCGCGTTCAATCTGGGGCAGGCTCACAGCCTTGCCTTTCCTCTCCCGCCAAATTCTCAACCTGCTGGTTCTTCACCTCTTCCTCTTCTTTCCCTGTTTTTTTCTTTTCCCTCAGATGTACTTTCCAGCTCTCCATTTGGCTGGCCCCCTCACTCCATCCTCCCTGCAGTCCCCTTCTGCTCTCCAGGCCCTTGCCCTCACCCTGCTCCTCCAAGGGATCTTAATTACACACCTACTGTGTACCGCTACTGTGCTAGGCATAGGTAACACAAAAATGAGGGGGTAGGGGTCCTGGGGACTTTCTTGGGAGCCCCAAGGCCTGTTCTCCTTATCTCCTGGGAGCTTCTGAAAATCCTTTGTAAGCTGTAAAGGGCCCAACAATGTTGACTATTATTGCTACTGCTTTCAGGGAGACACTATAGAATCAAGCAGGGACATTGGCCATGAGGTTCATGAGTGGGGATCAGGGTCTGAGTTAGTCAGGAGGCGCAGGGGGATGCCCCCCACCCCCATCAGTCCTCTCTATTTTTTTACCCCCTACCTCCTTGACTCCCTTAGTTGAGGGAGGTCGGAAATAAAAAAGGCCCAGGAGGGTTGCCTGGGACTAGGGCAGTGCAGGAAAGAGTGCGGAGAGAATCTGTAGCTTGCAAGGAGATTCCTGCAGTGTGTGTCCACATCCTGTTCCCCAGCTAGCTCCCCAACCCTCCCCCATCCCCACAAACAGCAAGGCTCCATAGGCAAAGAGGAAAGAAGGAAAGTGCTCTTTTCCCCACTCCTCTCTCTTCTCCCACATCCCTGAGTCCATTATTATTCAATCTCCTAGTCTTCCTTTTATATCTCTCCCCCTCCCGCCCCCTCCCCCGCTCCCCCCCACTCCATTAAGTAAACCTGGCAGCATATGGACATCAGCACAGACAGACACACAGATATCCAGATGTACCTACCCCCTTCAGCAGCCAGGATCCAAATCACCTCCAGCAGGAGAGTGAAGAACAACATGGTATCCCCGGAAGAAGCAGGTACTGGGAGTTTGGGGAATAGAGGGCGAGGGTTGGCCGAGAAACAGTGGGGGGGAAGAGAGAGAGAGAGAGAGAGAGAGAGAAACAGAGGGTGGGGAGGGACAGAGTGGGAAAGAATGAGAGAGGAGTTTCTTGGAGCTGAGCTGATTGTATTTATCTCTTTTTCTCTAGCTGTCTCTGTGTCTCTGTGGGCTTCCAGGGGATTTGGTTTTCAGGATAGCGTAGGGTTTGGGATCCCTGGGACAAATGTCTCGCTTCCTCTCTTATTTAATCTACCTCTACAGTCTTCACTCCACTTGCTGGCCAGTGACTTCACAATTGCCTCCCGCTTTTAAGGTGGCTCTGGATGAGTGTACGTGGTGGTGGTGGGGTGCTGCCTGGGTTGCTGGCGAACAGCTCCTTAAATAGCCTATTAGGCATGCGGAGCTGGAGCGTGCAGCCGGTTCACGGGGAGCCCTGGCCCTGGCTCAGGAGCGCAGCTGGGGTTTAGCTCTTCCTTCCTCTGCTCTTCTCATGGGCACTGGCCAGGTGGGTGTCCCTGAGAGCGGGTCTGGGGCATGGAAGGAGGGCTTGGGGGTCCAATCCAGGCCCCTGAGGGGGACATTGTGCTCTCATTCCCGGTGTGTCTGGCTTTTCGGAGGAGCAACTCCTCTGGGTGGCCTGGGGCAGAGGGCGGGAAGCCCTGCTCCCTGTCGCCTGCAGAAGCGGAGCTGCCCCGGAATGGGAAGAGTCCAGAGTTCCAAGATAGGAGTTGGAGACCCAGGGTGCAGGTGAAGGGTAGGAAGTCCAGGGCTAAAACCCAGCTTGTGGAAAATAAAGAAGAGAAGTGAGGCAAGAGAACTTGTTTGGAGCGATCTCTTAATGCGCCTGTCACCACCCCCTTCCCACGGTGAGGCCTGGGTCCACGTGCCTGTGTGGTCTGGGTGGGGGGTGGTTTTGTTTGCTGTATAAAGCCCATTTGTGTGCCCAGCGGGGGAGGGGCTGCAGCAGCACCATGGAGAGACAGCGGCTCCAACTGCCAGACCCAGCCACCTCCCTCCCCAGGGAGCCCAGATCTAGGGCGGCTTTTGTCATTGAAGAGGACACTGACCCTTGGCAGGGAGGCCAGGGCAGGAGGAGAGATGGGGGAAGACCTCTGAAACAATCATTACCACCGTAAAAAAAAAAAAAAAAAAAGAAAAAGGAAAAGATAAAAAAAAAAAAAAAAAAAAAAGGCGGACTCTAGAGAAAGGGCGGGGAGGGAGCTGAGAGACCATGTGATCTAGTTGGAAGTGGGGCCCAGGGTCTTCCCTCCCGCTCAACAAAGAGCCGAGGGGCCCGACCTGTGGGACTGAGTGAAATCTACCACTGGGAGCTGGATGTGTAGAGCATGGTGGCTGCTGGGTCTCAGGAATGTGGGCTAGTGCCTATTTCCCCACGGGACTGGAAATCCCGATTGGAATGTACATCCTAATCCCTCATTAGAGAATGTGAAATAATTTCCAGCCAGGCACTGAGAACTCTTTCTCTTCCGTGCCCTTCGCCAGAGTCACCCGCCCGAGGATGCGCCCATTTGAGCTCCCTCTGCGCTAGTCCCTCCTGCCAAGGAGCAAGAAATAGCCAAAACAAAGGGAGCAGAAGCTAAATAAGGGAGCAGGAGAAAGCCAAATGAACAGAATAATGCACGCGCCGGCTCATCAGTGCCTGCACAGGCATGAGCCGCCGTGCCTTCCTGGCAACCCCCCACCCTCATTGATCTGGGACGCAAAACTATTCGGCAGATATCATTTCCTTCTTCATTTTCTCATCATCACCCTCAGAATTATTTTTCCCTTCCAAGGCGCAGTTTATATTTTGAGGTTCCCCCAAAGCCCCACCCCTCTCGTCTAAGAAGAGTACAAGGCATAAAGTGTAAACTAGACATCCTGGGAATCAGGATAGTTAACAGAGAGAAATACAGAAACAGAAAAGAAGAAAAGCGGAGACATTTATTGCCTGGGGGTAAAGAGTGGGCCTGGACAGAATGACCTCCGCCAGGTCTGAGTTCCCTCCCAGACGCCGGAACTCTAATTCAGCTTCCCCCAGGCCTGTAGGCGCCACCTCCTGGTTGTCTCAGGAATTTTTTAAAAACCAAGAATTAGGGGCACCTGGGTGACTCAGTGGGTTAAAGCCTCTCCCTTCCGCTCAGGTCATGATCCCAGAGTCCTAGGATCGAGCCCCGCATCGGGCTCTCTGCTCAGCAGGGGGCCTGCTTCCCTACCCCCCCCCCGCCTGCCTCTCTGCCTACTTGTGATCTCTGTCAAATAAATAAATAAAATCTTTAAAAAAAATAAAACCAAGAATTAATTAATTAATTAGTTAATAAAGAGTTTATTTATTTATTTTGACACACAGAGAGAGATCACAAGTAGGCAGAGAGGCAGGCGGGGGGTGGGGGGGGGGTAAGCAGGCTCCCGGGAAGAGCAGAGAGCCTGATGGCGGGATGGATCCCAGAACCGAGATCATGACCTGGGCGGAAGGCAGAGGCCCAACCAACTGAGCCACCCAGGTGCCCCTAAATTCTAAAATTTTAATTAAAGTGTGTGTGTGTGTGTGTGTGTGTGTGTGTGTGTGTGTGTGTATGATTGTTTCAGGGAAGTGTTTCGCTGCTGGTGGGACTTGGGATTTTTGCCTACAGGAATAAACATTGTTTCACTAAAATGTCCAACCCCAGACCAGCAGTTTCCCACTTCTAAGTGAGCAGCCTCTCCAGGCCCTGGTGCTTCCTAAGTGGACAAAAGCCTTGGTTTCTGGGTGGAAGGGAGAAAGGAGGCAAGCACTGACCTCAGGGCACTTGTCCTTATTTTGATCTTTGGCTCCACTACGATATTTCTGTTGTCACCAAGCTAATTTGGAGTATGTGTCAAGAGGACCTTTATACATTAGAACAAAACAAAATGCCATCCCACCTCCCACTCCCTTCACCTCAGTAGCTACTCAAACTCTGGCACTTCTGTTTTAATTCCTACTTCTCCAGCACAATCCTTAGACCGATTTGGCTAAACCCAAAGGCGTTCCACTGCCTTCTGGCGCCATCTCCTGTCCTTTCAAATGCAGTGAAATGTGAGCAGGTCAGAGAATCAAGTGTCCAGCTGTGGTAGCTTTTTGGTTTGTTTTTTCTTAAAAGGTCCTTTTTATTTTATTATTAATTTTTTTACTTAAATGATCTCTACACCTCATGTGGGGTTCTAACTTACAACCCCTGAGATCAAGAGGGTCATGCTCTTCCAAATGATCCAGCCAGGCATTCCATTAAGAAGTCCTTTTAAGGGGCGCCTGGGTGGCTCAGTGGGTTAAAGCCTCTGCCTTCGGCTCAGGTCATGATCTCAGGGTCCTGGGATCGAGCCCCACATCGGGTTCTCTGCTCAGTGGGGAGCCTGCTTCCCCCTCTCCCTCTGCCTGCCTCTCTGCCTACTTGTGATCTCTGTCTCTCCAATAAATAAATAAAATCTTTAAAAAAAAA